GGGGGTTGTTGTGGGGGTGGGGGGGGGGGGGGAGGGAGAGGGGTTTGGTTGGTTGGGGGAGAGGGTTTTGTATTTGCTTGGTTTGGTTTGGGTTTTTTTCCTCAGTGATTTTCATCTCTTACATAGTGTGCAGATCAGATGTAGTTGCTACAGCTTGTACAGTTCTTTTCACCAGAGTGTGCATCACAGTGAACAGATCTCCATGCAGATATGCAGAAATAACACTGTGAGAAATAAAAAAGCTTAGGACAAACAAAGTGGGGGGGGGGGGAGACACCCCAAAAAACACTCCAACAAAAACCCAAAAGACATACTGGAAGAAATTCAGACTTCTCAGGAGCTGCTAGATACTCTAACACATTCTTATTGACAGAGGGCACATTGATCTTGATTTATATAATGGGACTCCTAAGCAGATCCTCTAGAGAAGTTAGAAGAACACCTGCAGATACACAGTACATTTGAAAGAGCAATACAAGGCTATAAATATGCATGACATGACCTCATTCATATTCTTCTTTCATAGGATTCAGATCTTTAGTTCAACAAAAAAAGGAAGAAAGTAACAAAAGGAGGAAGGACTGTCTTTTGTTTAAGAACTGGAAGACAGGAAACCTGGATTCTATTTTTGGCTCTTCCACAGAAGTTCCTTATGGCAAACTTTTCCTCCATTGGGGTATCCAATTGAGGAAGCGAGATTGAGAGATGAAAAGGACTTAACCAACCACAAGTACCTAGATTTGAAAGGCTTGCCTACTTTCTCTGACTCATCCCTTTCGCCTGAAGGAGTGACAAAAATTCTCATCTATACCCCAATGATGATACAAACTTATACTGGAAAATCACATAATTATATTATTGAAACCAGGAAAAAGGAACTATAGACACCTATTGGGTTTATCTTCCTGGACCTCATATTGAAAGTATTGACCTTTCATAAACAATCAAAAAACTCTCAAACACTTAAATAATCAGCACTGCCCTTTCTATGTGAGTTGAAATCATAACAGCCAGTATCATCATTCAGTTTTGAAGCTCTAAGGATGTTTAGACAATATATTAAACAGTCCAGCAGTATTGCATTTCCAAAGATCAGGAAGAAAAATTCTCTTTGCCCCCATGCCCACTTCATTTTTGAGAGTACTTCCAAGACATACAGGCCAAATTTCAAAATCTTTCATCAAGAATAAGGCTTTGTGTTTGGTTTTTTGTTTAGTTGTTGGTTTTGTTTGACTTGGTTTGCTTAGGGTTTTTTTTTTTTTTGGTTGTGGCTTTTTAGTTAATTTCCATAAAACCTTTATTTCTCTTTAGAAAATGCCTAATCATACTGTATTTCTCACAATTGCCACACTGAATTTAACATGGAATACGATAAGCAAAATCTGTGTCCTGTTTCACTTTGTAATGAGCACTCTTTCTTTAGCTGAATAACTTCAGATTCAGCACCCCAAATGTTTACTTTACTATCCAATCTAGAAAGTACAAGAAACCATGACTACAGTGAAAAGTAACTGTGCAAATTACAATTTTATCTTAAAGAAAACAAAAGGGATATTGAACTTTCATTATACAAGAGGAGGGGCAGGGACACAGATTTAACATTGGCTTTAACCATCTGGAAAGATTCACCAGAAACATGGAAAAACAATACCAACAGAAAGATGTGAGGAAAGGGTCACAACGTTTTTCAAAAGCTATACTGAAATAGCTGTACTGCAGAATGTGGATACATACGCATATCTAAGGAATATATACAAACTTTACGTGCTATAGTGAACTGGCCATCACTGATGGCAACATTATTTTTCATGGTCCTGCAAAGTGCTCTACACAGGACTGCTGGCAGTTTCTGGAGAGTAACTAGATTAATTTGTTTTATAAAACTGATTTCCAAATGTTCTCTCTCCTGAGAGACAAAACTATTACTGACTGTAAATTCTTAACTCTCTGAAACAGGAAAATAAAGTTTCAATAACAATAATTTGGTTGGGTTTCTTTTCTCCTCCACCAGATACTGTACAGTTTTAGATACTATGTCCATAGCAGTCTAGGTGCCAGTTAGAGAAATTAGGTCTCTCAGTACATTAGAAAATCACTAGAATAGTGACTTGGTACTCAAGAGACTTTCCAATATAGAAGCTGTGAATTCCCACAAAATGTGAGGATAGAGAAGAATGTAAACAACAACTCATGCAGCATAGAGACTTGGATTAAGGACTCAGTTCTAAATTCCTTATACAGACAGGATAACTGTTGACTTGAATGGCTCCTGTGGACACACTTGAAATCAGTTTGTATGTGTATGGTATGCTTTTCCTTTGGAGACAGGTATTCTTCAGCGATGTGTCTAATTCTGGAACAATCTAACCTAAACATGAAACAAGACACGGTTGTGGTGCTACACAGGACTAATGTCAGCTGGATTTGTGTTAACTTTTCCCTGTGACAGGACATAACAGTACATGCCTTCAAGTCCCTCTCACAGAAAGCAGGAGCATGAACAGGAATTCTAGGACAGACATACATTCTAGGCTTGATTACAGGATCAATAAAAGAATACATAATACTTGAATCTTGTTAAATATTTTGAAACCTTTTAAACCTTTTAAATTCCCTATAGGATCCATCTCACTCCTTTATCTAATCCTGAGAAACTTTATCTCACATAAATTCCATTTCTTTGGAAATGCTATTATGTTGAGTGTTAAAAAGAATAATCAAGAAAAACATTTCATACAATTCCTGGACTTTACCAATCTAGTCCATACTATGATCTTTCTGAAAAAATCTTAGGGTAAAAACACATTTCCTCATTTTCAGTTCCAGCCTTCCCTGTGCCTTCACACCTGTGTGACCACTGATAAATTCAGTTTGCCCATTCTGTTACACAGGTTTTCTCCGAAATAACCCTCACAAAAGGCAAAAAGATTCTCTTTCAAAACATATGTGGAAAATAAGAGCTTCATATTTTCTTGGGGGTGTGGGACAATATTTATATTTTTTTTACTATATAGAATTGCCCTGATGAGCCAAGCTGTTTGCCAGTATGTAGTGCATACTACATGGCACTTCTCCAGATCACTTCTTGTACTAAGATACATCATAGTGCAGAGAGGATGTAAGGTGAAATGGTTTTATTCACATAGCATGGCAGAGTTCTACTTCCCTGAATGTAGTAGAACTGACCTGAAGGCAGTTTCCTTTTCCAGAAGTCTCTAGCTTACATAATACAGTGCTTTCAGTTTCTGTGCTGCTGTTACCTTTGAGGGGTGCATACTACTCCACATTTCCAGTCTGCAGCCAATTTCCTCATTTATGTATTGGCACACAAAACTTGCCACCATCAACCCCTGCCATCAACAGGACCTACTGCCTTTGGTTCTGTTTGCAGTTAATTTGCTACAGTAAGACCCTTTCGGCAACCTAAATTCTTGGCACGGCAGCTGGCTTTCAGAGCTTCTTTGACTTTTTATCCAGGATTCAGCTTCTGGAACCCATTAGTTCCAGAAGCAAGCAATTAACCTGGACGTCCAGCACTTTATCTGACTATTGGATTAGCTTGAGCATTTCCATGGTAAAGTCATTAGTCTGTCTTCTCTATTATGTGCATCTGAAGTAATATTCCATAGCTCCATCCCATGAACAAAAATTAAACTCGTAAGAATAATAGGACACCTCATTACTGTTTATACTAGTCCATTCCATGCCTGGCTATTCAGGACTTCTAGGACTCACTTATTTCCAAAGCAAGTTTTGGCTAGAATCTAATGAACAGCATCAGTTAACTTGGCACCTGGGATCCCCAAACTATGTTCTTCTACACAGCATTTCTTCCAGAAGATAATATACTCATACAGTCTTACTTTGACTGTGAGCTTAATGGCATTATCAAAGTGTCTCCTAGAAGACTTGGGTAGGAAAAGGTGGAGAAATATAAAATTCCTGATGAAGAAAAGCATCTCATTTTGAGACTGCATGTCAGCAGCCAGTTAATTACAATAAAATATTACAATCTGACCTTAAGAAAGAATACTAGGAGAAAGACTGAAATTTAAATCCTTTTTATTTCTGATTTTATTCTTGCATTCAGTAGCCACACACACCCCCAAGAAAACCCCACAACCAACCAAAAATAAAATAAAAAAAAAAACCACCAAAAAAAAGACAAAACACCCTCAAAACCACCAAAAAAACTAAACAGCACAAAGCCAGTTGTTCCACACATGAAGCCTGTAGGTTCAATGAGGATGCAAAAGGTTATTGTATTAATTTCTTTTCTTTTCATGGAACATCCATTTTGCTGAAGTGAAAATATACTATGCAGATACAGCTACTAGATGCCAACCAACAGCTAGATTTTTAAAACCAGTTGATTAGCAGAATCACCAATGTCTCTGGTCCCACCAGGGCACCGGAGACTGGAGAGATTATACTATAAACTTCGTATCATTACAATAGCTACACCTGAAGAAAGTCAACCAGGTTAAAGGAATATTTATTTATAATGTTCAACAATTTTCAGAGTACAGTAAGTTCCAGTGATTTCCATCATGACAGAGAACTGATCCAGTAAACACAGTCACATCTCTACTGCAAACATGTTCACTCATTTAAAATGACAGCTGCATATTCACTGTCACGATATACCAGACTTCAGGTATACAAATTTGCAAATGCCTCAAGAAATACCAGATTTCCACATTAAAAATGAGGTTTTAAGCATATTTGGATCCTCAAAGGAAAGTGCAGCAGCAGCCTTAAGAGACATTTAAGCACTCAAGCCTGAACAACAGAGTGCACCACTTACCGCTGAACTGGTAATGGAAGGGAATCTAAGTGATCCTCGCCCTTAAAAGCCATATTTATCCTATTCTTGTATGCACTTCTCCATAGGCTGGAACCTAGAAAGAAAACAAATATTTGTTTAGTAAACCTAGGGAAACTCAGGCCTCTTCAGTCCAGGGTGGCATGGCATTCTACTGATCTGTGGAGCTAAGTCATTATGAACAATTCAAAAGTCTCTTCCTCAGGCTACCACACAATTCCAACAGATAACAAAGGCCATTAAGAATATAAGCAACATCGGGTTTGCATACTCCTGAACTTCCTGGACTACTGCACAGATCAGAGCCATCCGAGTTGAACACTTCTAAGTTATTATTTAGACTCATTTATTTTGAATTAACTTGAACTATTAGCATGATTGTAATCCTTCAGGCTATTGTGATAAAGACTGCAAGAGAAAGCAAGTGTATGCTCATATGATTTCAGGATCATTTAATACTACAGTTAAAGAAAGGCCCTTGATGTCTAAGTCACTGAAGTACTGGGTCCTTCCATGCTAAACAAGTTCATATTTTCTATCAGTTTGAAAAGCTCTACACATCTTTCCTCCATGTTTTTCCTTTCTACCTGGTAAGTAAGAGACACGTCCAAACAGTACTGTAGTAGAAAGACACAAGAGAGGAGAAAGAAGCTCCTCATTTTCACACACATAAAAAGTGCTGTCTCTCTCCCCCTACTCTTAATTTGCCCCATCTTACATTAGGGCCTTACTTACTATAGGTCAATGTATATTCTCAACAGAAGCCAGAAAGAATTTATTCTGCTAAGAAAGGTGAAGTCATTCCCACTCACCTACCTGGCCAGAGGAAAACTAATGTAAAAATAGAACATATTTGAAGGAAAAAGATTAATCCATGACTCAAAAAGAACTAGGAGATGAATGAATGAATTTGGAGAAAGAGACAGGAAGAGTGGGGAAAATTATATTTTCTCAGATCTGAAGAAAAACCTGAGATCAATGGATCTCACTCTTGAAGAATACACTTTACACAGGAAGTTGATGCTGTTTGTGTCACCAGCTGAGGCAGAATGTTTTTGATGTAGCCACTAGTGAAATTTTGTCATTTTGTTATTGTCTACATTCTGCAAGCTGAGTTAGCCAATATTTAAGATATTTGCCATTCCAAATTGCTCCTAAGTGACACAGAGTGGTCCTCAGTGTGTCTTCCAGCAAGCTGATCTAGTTACCATATGCTCTCGTCCCTCCTCCCTGCCCCAATCTCTCAAACTGTCCCGAGTACGTAAAAGTATTACAATCAAAGTAATGCATTCATATGCTCTGTCCATCATTAGACACCAGCTTACTTTGGCAATGGTGTTACCCTGAATCATCTTAGTCCATGCATCTTTTGAAGCAGTATATTGAAATCTGTGAGAAGACTCTGTTCAGATAAGAGAGGTGGTTTAAGTGTTGCTGAATTCTCTGATTTAAAAAGATGGCAGATATTTGATAGACTTTGTCTGAAAATTCATATGCCCAAGTATGAATGTATTAGTATGTATCCTTCTGCTCCCATGACACCCCAAGATTTGAAAAGCAAGCTTATTGTTTTGGGTTTTTTTTTTTTTAAGGCATTATCATATGATGCACATACTTCATTAACAACTGGAATAAATTGGCTATCTTCATTTATTTTTACTAGTAGATTATTTTTTTTTTTTGCCTTTATGAAAGACATTTAAGATGGGCTACTTCCAGTAATTATCATGATTATCACTGTCTTATTTGGAGAAGATACCCTTAATCAAAGATGAACACACCTGCATAAAATCTTTATCTGCAAGATGAAGTTTCCTTTCCTAAATCCTAGTGTGTAAAGGACTGATAAAACAGTCTTCATCCTGCAGAAGAACAGACTTCATCGACACTAGCTATCTTCTTCCTTTCAGCATCAGGCACAGGATTTATCTCCTCATGCTACCAACACAAAATCAACAGCTTCAGTCTGGCAAGCTCAAGCTTCTTCACCATTAGCTCAGCCTACTAACAATTTCTATTCATACAAATCAAAGCATCTGCTTGTACTCCATTACTTGTGACTAGTGACATAATGTACACAGACATAAATTATATTATTGCATGTCATTGTTCCCTATAAATTAGAAACCTGATGAAAAAGCAGGGGTTTTTTTATACACCGTCTTCACTCAAAACACACATTTATATTATGGCTGAGAGCGTTTAAAAACATGATCAACTCCTACTTAGAGGTCACTTATACTCCAGGAACAATAACAAAATGCTGCACCAGTATCTTAACCAAATAGTCTGTTTCTAGACTACAGTTAGATATTAGCTCTAATCTTTAAGCCCACGGTTACTGTTGACAACATGCTCTTCCCAAGCACCTGACAGTCTGCCAGGGGACAGAAAAGTGCCACACTAGCCCACCTAAACCCATGATTACGAGGGAGGCTGGAGACCCAGCAACTGTTATGGTAACAGGTCATGTTCAGAATGGCTCCTGCATATCCTGGGAAATTATGGTGCTCAGTGGCAGACGTTGTCCAGTTTTCAGTGTTCTCATTAACCTTTCCCAGTAAGGAAAAGGCAACTGTATTTCTTAGTAGAGATCACAAGTGGACTGATAAACCCTTTTGTTTAGTTAATACTGCTTTTTATTTTATTAAAGGCCACAACAGTGTTGAGCTCTAGTCAGCATTGCTAAAAAGAAGGGCTCCTAACATAACTGACCATTTAGATGACTCCCTGAGCACCACCTCAAAACAATGCAAAAAGCTTTCAGAGTATCAAATATTTCGTCTTCAAGAAAAAAAAAAAAAAAAAACTACAAAAGTAACAAAAAAAACCCAACTGAAAAACAAACAAACCAAACGAAAAATAAAAAAAAAAAATCAAAACCCAGCACAGAACAGGTTAAACAGGTTGCATGCACTCAAGGTTACACAGATTGAGATGTATCTTAACCTTTCCTGATAGCTGCTTCCTCACAGATGGTAGAAATGGTGTAACTGCAAGCAGAGCTACAGATCTGAAGCAGTGCCTGAAGTCAGACACCTTTCTCCTAATGACCATTTAAAAGATGCTCCTCTGACTTAAATTCATAAAAACATATATATATATATGCTTTGTTATATGCTACACATGTATATACACGCACTCACATTTATGAAGTGTGTGCATACTAATAGCCAACAACAGCAAAGTTGTCCAGAAGTTAATGGCTATTTTTCCTGGCTTCAGTGGCCACTGATCAAGGCACGCAGCTGATCAGAGATGCTGTCTAGGTAAATTTGTACCAAAAAAAAAAATACCACTACTTGTAGTTCACAGTATTGGTCATTTTGGTACAAGCCTGGGTGACACTTAAGCTGAAATAAAATAGTTATTCTTGGACTATTATAAGGTCTTTTTTTAATACCTTATATAGGATTTTACATAAATTTCTGCACATAGACTTGTATTGCAATTATAGATAATGACTTATAATTGGGTTAATTCTTTTCATAGACAGCAGTGTGTTCATGTGGAATTAGATATATTCAAGGCACCAGTCTCTCCTTGTCCTTCATCTTTCTTTGTCACGTCAACACTGAATTAGATTTTAAGATGTTGTTTCCTCATGTTTACTGGGTAGATGTAGATTATCAGACCACAAACCACACTTCATTCCCATGAAGGATAGTCAGCCAAAATGTTCTCTCAGAGAAGTACTAGATGAGAATGAAACAAATCTTCACACAAGAAACAGCATGTAAGCATTGCTCACAGAAAAAAAAACAGTGTCAGCAGAGAATGTGACCTTCATGGTCAAAAAACCCCCCCCCCCCCCCCCAAAAAAAATCCACCAAAAAGCAACCCCACAACCCAATAAAAAACAAAAAATAAACCACAAAAAACCCAAACCCAACCAGCCAAAAAGACACCACCAAGAAGAGGTGCTTACACACAAGACCCAGGCCCTGATGTTGACAACTGACACAGAGAACTAAAAATAGCTTAAAAAAAACCTGCTAAGCTACACCACCCATAAGTTAAAGAAGGAGTCGTCTCGTCCTAACTTACACCAGGCTTGGCAGTATCTGTAAAACCTGTGCGATGCCTCCTTAGAACAGCATATGTTTTTTTTAGCTGTTAAACCCCTCTTTCCACAACAGCAGGCTTCTCCTGCCTTACAGGAACTCCCTGCTGGCAACTTCCACTTGCTCAAGTCTGTTTAGCATTGGCGAGCAGCTTCTACAGTGCAAAGTGGCTTTTTAGCATCCTAAAAATTATGTTTTCTGGCAGAAACAACAAATTACATCTTTAAAATCTCCCAGCTTCATTTCTTCTCCGTCATTCAACATGCTAGTTTATATTCACCCAGGTAGAAATTAGAAGGATTTTAGCACTCAAGATTCTAACATAAATACGTCCATGTCCAAAAGTATCACAGTACCAGCACATATTCAAGGGGAAATAAATGTGACTCATTTACCCTACTACTGATGGCCTTAAAGATGCTCTCCATCACAAAATGGTGGCCTGTATCATTAAGCCCTGAAACTCACATTTTTGAGCTTGTTCACTGCACGCATGTCCACTCTTGTATAAAGGCTTAAACCAAAAAGCAATTCCATGAACTTTGCTACCCCATTTCTAACCCCTAAGATCACAATTTCAACACTAAGAACATCTTAAAATAAGGTCAATCAAGAGCATAATTTCTCTTTGTGGAAGACAGAAATCCATGCATCTAGCCTTTGATTATTAATAATCATCAAAACGAGAAGAACATGTCACCTATAAATAGTATGGTTAACCTGAGAATAAGAAGTCATTAGCTAAAAGTCACTTCGGACTAGATATCACTTGATTAATATGAACAGTTCCTGTCTGTAGCACAGGACAATCTCTGTTCTGCCAAACAGTGCCTGTCCTGTTTTTACAATTCTGGGAGTCTGGGATTTGTTAGTTATTATTCTCCTGGTACACAGAATAACTGTTAATGGAATGCTACAAATCAAATTAAAAGCAAAATTCTGACAGTTTTTATGTGATAGGTCAGAATGTA